TGAGTTTGTAGACCACCACAAGATCACCTCTCAGCCTTCTTTTGCGGGGGCCCTGCACTTCATCAGATAGATGTAGATAATATTCGGATTGTTTTCCAGCAGAAAAAAGAAAATTGGGTAGCCACTGAAGCTAGGGTCCTAAGGGACTGAATAGAATAGCTTCTAGTTGGGCCAAGAGGGGACAGGGACAGAAGTAACGAAGAGATTGAGAGGTCTGCAAAAGATAAAAGGCTTCTCATGAGTGGGTTGTGCAAGGGAGATGAGCATCTGGCAATGTTATGATTTGAAGGTAATTTTGTTAACTTTTGAAATGATGAATAACCAATGACTCTGCTTTTTGCTACATTAATTCCTTCTCTTCCCAGGGCTCTCTGCTAGGTTCCTTTCCCAGTATCTTCTGATAAGCCAGTATGTGTGAATATAAAGTGATTGGCAAATATTGCTTTGCCCCATTTGAACATAGTCACAGAGCTGAGTTTTGCTCATTTCTTCCATTCTAACAGAAATGTCTCTGTGCTAGTAAGGGAGTGTCTGCACTGTCAGAGGACTGCACTAGTGAACATCACAGTGAAGCACCACAAGCCTGTTCTACTTTTGCACACCAGAATGATGGTAACAGTGTTGCCATGGTGTGACTGAGTGTGAGCCATAGACTCTGTCATGGTCAGATTCATTCACATATGACCAGCACTGCACTCAAGTAGATGCATTACATCCATTTCAGGGTGTCACATGCATGGAGTGGATGGACTCTGGCCTGAAAGTAGGTCCCACCTTGCTTCTTTGGAGCTAGTACTGTTTGGGATTTCAGCTGAATTATTTGCGTGCATGATTGCAGAGTTACAGAAGGAGGCTTTTGATTTCAAATGGAGGAGCACAGAATGAATTTGTGACTGTGTAAACATGCCTGCTAACATGTGCATGGTAGATGGGCAAACTCCAGAATGTAATGGGTGGAATTTTTCTAAACGGAATAGAATTGTCTTGGGTATTATTTACTAAATGCCTCAAAGACTAGGTTACCCAACTGAGTGCCTCACCCTTAATAGGGCGTCTTACAAAAGTTAGGCCTAAAAAAGACTTTCATATGAAAACTTGCATATCCTAGTTCTCACCCACTTCAGAGATCTGATCAAGCCTTTCATTAAGGGACACTTAATGAGACCCTGACACTGAAAAGCTAACTCTGATGCTGTGACAGAGCTAGTTCTAGAAGCATGGGAGTGTTCAATAAAAACAGCCTGTTGCCTGCTCTGGGGGATCTTGCACCAAAGTGAATGGCTATCACACCAAACCCAGGAGATACCTGAATTCTAGACTAGTGATTTCTACCCTACCCCCCAGAAGCCAGTAATGTAGCATATGGACTGCTGTGGCTTTTATGTGTTCCAAACAGCTTGCCCTTCTCCAGATAGGCCACTAAAATCTGCACCAGCTGAAGTGGCTTTCTATTCTAACCCAGAGTAGAGTGCATTGCAGTAACCTGGACTTGCAGTTGCAAAGATGTGAATGACAGCAGTGAGGCCTGCATCAGAGAGAATCCAGAAGTGCCTCCAGACTAGCTGCAAATGTAAGAAAAGCATTACATGTCACCAGGGAATCCCTGAGCAATGGTGAATTCAAGGCTGGACATGGTTTTTTTTATTTAATGATGTAGAGAGGCATATTCTGCCTAGGTCCATGTAAATGGCTTCACTGGAAAGGGTTACATCACTTAAGTGTGGATGTGCCTTACGTGACAAGCCCTTGTTTCCATCTGGGTATCATGAGCCATTAGATGCCGCATTGCAGGATGAATAGTATAGTATAACATCATTGATTTGTGGGGTTTTTTTGGGTTTCTTTTAAAGGAAAGGACATAGGAGTCTGCAGTAAGATTTATGTTGTACCCCTTCCTATATCACCTGAGACACAGTGGTAGTTGGATGTGTTACTGTAGCCAATGTAGCTCTCTTGTGTGGAAGGTAGGCCTGGGATGTCAGCCTTCAGGTGACAGCATACTCTTTGACATTAATTGCTACTAATTTTTAGTAATAAAAAATTAATCTCAAACTACTTTGTTTCCTGTATATTGAGATTGGTTTGTCCTTCATATGAATAAATAAAATATGCATGTGGAAACATGGAGTCCAAGTTTGTGCAATGGAAATAAAGTTAAAGGAATACACCACACAATAAGTGTTGCCCTTCACAGTAAGGGGTGCCAGAATCTGGAATGGGCGTCCAAGGGAGATGGAGCTCTCCCCCACCTTGGAAGCCTTCAGGAGGAGACTGGACAAGCACCTAGCTGGGGTCGTCTGACCCCAGCGCTCTTTCCTGCCCAGGGCAGGGGGTCAGACTCAATGATCTACTGAGGTCCCTTCTGACCCTAACATCTATGAATCTATGAACCATACAAGGAATAGAACATGATCTCTGTGACTGATTACCTTCTACTGCGTTGCAATCTATGATTTTTTTTTTTTAATTATTTTTTTTTAACGTTCTGAAAAAAAATATTAATATAGTAAGGGAGGGTGGATAGTTCATCAGTACGGCGGGATCAAACTTCCGTTGCATGAAGAGATTAAGACTTGTTTGCTACATTAAAATATCTGTTTCATAGTTGGTAGAGTTGGAAGGTAGCTGAACAGATCATCAAGTCTAACCCCCCTGCCATCTGCTTAAAGCTTTAAAAGGGGTTGTCCATGCATTGCTTTTGCACAGCTTTTAAGTAAGAATATTTCTATACTTCAGTCAATGTGTGGAAGTAGTTTCTGCAGTCATCTGAGCTAGCTCGAAGCTAACTGGGTTGGGTACGAGTAATAGCATAGCTGCAAGGAGCAAGATGCAGCAGAGCAAATACTCTAAGGCAGTAGTTCTCAACCATTTTAGACTTGAGGCACTCCTTGTTAGATTCGAGGCATTCCTCCATAACTCTTGTGAACTGATCAGAAGGTACTTTAGAGATCAGAAGGCAATATTTTACAGTTAGGGTGGCCAAAAACTGGAACCAACTTCCCAGGGAAGCGGTCCTCGCCCCTACCTTGGGCAAATTCAAGAGGAGGTTGGACGATCACCTGTCTGGGGTCTTGTGAACCCAGCATTCATTCCTGTCTGTGGCAGGGGGTCAGGCTAGATGATCTGTTCAGGTTCCTCCTGGCCCTAGCTACTATAATACTATGATCAGCCCCCCATATCAAAAACTATTATGGTGCCTGGCTCCTTGCAGAGGAACCAAGCAGTGGTGTAGAGGAAGTGGCCAGGCAGGGAGGATCTTGAGCCTGCACTTATCTCCTCACACCTCAGGCACCCTTCAAAAGAGGTCTAGGGCCATGTTGTATAGTACAGATGGATCTTCAATCAGTGCACAGTATATCTGTAGTGTGGATGTAGCCATTCAGCAAGCCCAGCCCTGTCCTCCTTCCCCCCTTCCTTTCCATACTCTTTATTCCTTCCCTCTTTGTCCTAGGTAATCTGACTCCACTTTAATTATTGCCCTGCTAAAATCGCAGAACTAATACGCTATTTGCTGTTATTTTGGTCACTCTGCATGTGAAGAAACACATTTTGCATATTGTATTTTAGGCAGATCTAATGCTAGAAATGTGCATTTTGTGAGACTTCAGACTATAGCCTCCAAACAAAGATTAGTTAAACAATTTGGATAGCTCCACTGGATGGTGAGGATTAAATTACACAGTTTGCAAGTGGGATTAATACTGAGTGGTGTGTGCATCGCAATTGTTTTTGTGCTTGGAGCTGTAGGGTATTGGTCACCTTTTTTGAGTGAGGATGAATGTGGGTATTTGATCTGCTTTTTTATATTGTTGTAATTGCTAAAAAGTCTAGCCTCACTTTGAATATGACTTTTTATTTTCATTAATGTTTGATAGGTTTCTGCCTAGTGTGAAACAGTTACAAGTAGAAAATGGATGCTGTAATTCACCCTGTTGAAAATTATAGTCTTAAATTAAAACTACCCAGTAGAAAGCCTAGTAAATCCTCTTGAGAAACCTGTGGGCAAAACTGTCCCTTAAATCACTCTTATAACTGTTATAGAACTATGGCCCAAATTATTTGGGTAATCTTCCTGCTGGTAATCTCTCTTTACAAACCACATTTCTTTTGGCAGCTTGACTCTGAATACTGATCATGGGGATATCTTGGTGGATTATTCGAAGAACCTTGTTACAGAAGAAGTCATGAAGATGCTGATTGACCTGGTAACTTCTTAAGCACCCACAGTATTAATAAAAACAAAATAAACCCCATAAAAATGTAGAGTGTAATGCTCCATGGGAGAGACTGTTCTAGCTCAGAGGACCTGGTTCTTTTCCACTGTTGCAAAGATTTGATGTGCAACAGAGTAACAAGTATAAGTTAATACTGATGAGATGTGCAATAATGCTCACAGAGCTGAGGGAGGCAAGACACTGTAAAAGATGGCTGTTGTCTGTTCTGTTTCTCTAGGTAGAGCATCCAGCAGAGTGGGTTTTTATTAAATTCGGCAGGAACGCTTCCCTAAAGTTGCTTCTGTGCATCTAGATAGTCTGTTCCCACATGCTTGCATTACCCATTCTTACGTGGGCCATTGTGATTTAACTATCCATAAATAGAACCATCAGGTACTTTTAAAGATCAATATAAGTGCTTTCTCTTTTTTTCTTTATGGATTCAAACCTTTATATTCTCAAAAACGAGAGCCAAACTCAATTATTACAGGTGATGTACCCTTAATGCTATTTCTCCTCTCACTTGAGTCAGGGCTGTCCAACTTCAAAGCAACTGGAGGCAGCACATCATACCAGTCAGGTCTTGGGCTACACACCGCACAGGCTGCATGCTCCAGGGGCTGTAAATCCTTCAGTCTTCCAGTTCCCCATCCCATGCCGCCCCCTTGCTGTGTGAGCAGCATGAGCCTGCCCCTACTACACAAGTCCCCAGCCCTGTTCTTTACCCTGTTCTGCTATGGCTGCACAGGTAGCAAAAGTCCATCCCTCTCCTCCCCTCCCCGCACTGCTACTGCTGGTGCAAAGGCAAGCCCCACAAGCAGTATGAGCCCACACCCCACCCAACCCTGCCTCTGCCACCACTGTGCGTCTCCCCTTGCCCCCTGCTGATGTGGTCATGGAGGCAGCGAGCTTCCCAGGTCTCCTCTGGCTCTGTTTCTTGCCCCAGAGATCCTGACTGCTGTGACAGCAGTGGATGTGATGAGGAAATGGTGGCCAGATGGGAGCCCATGGGCTGCATATTAACTCCTCGTGGACCAGGTGCAGCCTGTGGGCCACTAGTTGGACAGCCCTGATTTAAGCAATGCTTTATGCTTTGTTGCTTAAAGAATCTGAAAGTCTGAGACTGTCACTTCTGGTGGAGCATACTCTTTAAAGGAAAAGGTTTGCCTGAATAACTTCAGTGTAGCACCCAGGTTTGCTGTCCTTGCTGGCTACCTGTGTCAGATGAGGGGAGTCTTGCATCTGCAGTGCATCAGATATGTATTTGGAGAAATTTAGGCCAACAGTAAAGTTTTGTTTTCCCACCCTACTGTCTTAAAAATGGGGGGTAGCCTAGTGCATTGGTGATGCTGACAAAAAATTAATGAAAAATAAGTTGTGAGCCTCTGTGTATTCACTATTGCTAACATACAACCCCCTCCCCGCCCCCACAAGTGAAGAAACACTTGACATGGGGGATCACGTCTTGTTCCTGGGGGGCCATTTCAAAGGGACAGTCTTGGATGCTGGCCTGTATCAGAGGCTCACAATGCATTTGGCACACTAGCTACACTTTGGGAACCCCTGGTAACTGTTTAAAAAGTACTAATGGGCTGCATTTGATGCATGGGCCATGCTTTGGGAACCCTTGTTCTACAAAAGCAGCTGCAGTCAAATGGGAGAGTGACTCTAAAGCTGCAAAATAATGGATCATGTCAGCCAGTTACGTTTTTGATGTAGCCTGTTTAGTATTTTATGCAGCTAGTGGGCCCAGCTGCAGGACAGAGGATGTTCCTTTGGGACATGATGGCTTCTTACTATCTTTAAGTGAACAATCTATTTTTATACTTCTCAGGCCAAGTCCCGGGGCATTGAAAATGCTAGGGAGCGAATGTTCACGGGGGAGAAGATCAACTTCACTGAGGTAAGGCTATTTCTGTCGTGACTCTGTCCTCACAGTTATGCATATTTGTGCTGGGTGTGGGAGGGGTCTAAAATATAGTTGTAGTGCCCTGAACTAATGAACATGGGGCTACTATTTGTTTCAGTGTTTACTGTACATACATACTTTAGGGAGGAGGCACAAACAAGTTATGATGATTAATAGGGGTTGAAGGGCCACCTTTGCAACATATTGGGTCCCAACCTGGCACAAGCGTGGGGAGCTGGAGTAGGAGTTGTTTCCCCACTGCATCAGTTCTTGAAGGGACTGTGGGAGCAAGCGTTTCCCTTTTTCATTCCTGTGGTGGGAAGGAGACTGAATTGCCCATTTGCAAATCTCATATGGGATTGATTGCAGGACTAGTCTTAAGCAGAAGCAAACCAGATGCCTAGCAGACTGCATGCAAGATATTCTATAGGAGCTGATGCCTGTAGCTCTTATCATCAGGCAGTATTTATCAGTGGAGGTTCTAAATGCAGAAACCAGTCACTATTTAGATAAGAACATGAGCATCTTCCCCTTTTTCTAGTCTAAAAACTAGCATTACCTTTTTAGAATGCATGCTGTTCAAATTTGGCGTGGGTCTTGAAGACGGCAGAAGGCAGGGCAGGCTGGCACCTTGGAGACTAACTTGTTGAGAGGCATAAACTTTGTAGGCAATAGCCTGTTTCATCATAGCATCCGAAGTATGATGTTGTCTATGAAAACTTATGCCTTTCTGAACCAGTTAGTCTTTAAAGTGCCACCTTGCCCCACCTTCTGCCTGACTTCAGACTAACACGGCTTTGTGTAAGATTTAGGCTAGGTGCTGTAAAAAAATGCATGTAGCTACTCATTTTGTTGGCTTTTTTTTTAACAAAAGGGAAGGGAAACAATTAGTTCTACCAGAAAGAGTTCAAAAGCATGGAAGGACTATGAAATAGTAGTCCTTTCATGCTTTTGCACTTTTCTGCTAGAACTAATCGTTTCCCTTAGCTTTTTTGTTCACACGAACTGAGCCTTTACACTGGCACTATTTGCTCTGAGTAGCTCAGCAGTTGCAGGAGTACTTGCAGAGATTGCCCAACATGCAGGGTTAGAAAGGCAGTTCCTTTTCCTTTTGTATTACTTGTTTTCACTTCATAGATGCAAGTGACCTAGCCTTAGCCAGTGTATAGGTCAGGGAAGAGAAGAGCAGGGTAAAAGTAAAATAAATCCTTAACTGGAGACACAACTGTCCTCTGCTTTTTGAGAACAAGCAATTAAAGCCTCAAAAGTGACCCAGAATATCTAAAAACTCCTGATTTTTTTAATTTTATTTACATCTAGCTATTTCACCCCCAAAATGTGCCTGTAGCTCAGCTATACCTGTGTAATTGCCTCTGTACAGACATTGATTTTCAAAACATTGAAAAGTATACCTTAAGGCAATTGAAATCTTCTAATTCTGACCTCCCATCCTGGACTCAGCTCTCCAGACAAAGCAGTCTGGAGCAAAAGCTCAGTGGGACAGAGCAGTGTTCCATTCAGTCAGTTGAAGCCTGAGAAACAGGAAGGAATTCTGGTCCAAAAGCAGTTCTGGGAAAAGATTCCCTGGTCCCAGTTCAGGCAGGAATTGCTGTCTCCTCCTTTGGAACTACAGGTTTCTTGCAGAGTCACTCTTCAGCCCTCCCCAGGGTCACCCAGGTGTGAATGTCCTGTTTCTCAGGAGTGAGTTGACTTGGCAGGACAGTACTCTGTCCCACAGTACTACTGAGCTCCTGCTTTATCAGCTGCCTGGAGAGCTGAGTCAGGGTTGGGTTTCAGATTCTGTCTTTTCCAGTATAAGCGTGAAGAGTGTGTGATCTATTGCAGAACACTCCCTTGGGGTTGCCCTCACTTCCCTGTCTGGGAACAAACATCAGTTAAGGTAATTGGTTAATCGGAAAATGACATTGAGACATTTAAAAGTAGTAAGCAGCGACGTGCTCAGTCTCCATAGTTCATTCCCTATTTCAGTGCTGCTAATGCAAAAGAAGTAGCATTAAAAAAGTTGCTTTCTGCTTTGGGCTCTTGTATACATTGAGCAGAACTATGGCAGAAGGCTTCCTTAGAACGAAACCTGTATTAAATTTGCATGCCATCAGGCCATACAGAATATCACATCAAATAAAGAATTTATTATAAAATGGAAATAGCACCATGAACTAACACAGATATTGTCAAACATTGATAGGCTATCAGCTCATACTGGTTTTGATTCCCCCCCCGAAGGTCTTGGTAGTTTTGAAATCTTCTACCCAAGGGAGCAAACATTCTGATAAACTAGATGGTGGGTAGTGTCTGCTTGATTCTTCCATGTGTACCTCTGTCTGTGTGGCATGCCATTTTGGTGGCATGCCCAACTAGAGAATGATCCTCTTCTTCACCCCCAATTTAGAAACAGAGAATGTCTTCATAATTTAGTTCAGGAAGTTCTGGTCTCCTGAGCCATAAGCTGCAGCACAGTTGGTTTGTATTGCACACTTGGTGGCTAACTCATAACATTTGGCGGTTCATATCTTCCTTGTCTTTATCCTACAATGCTGTTCATTGTAGTGGGGAGTAGCGAGACATACCAGACTTGTTCTGTTTGTTAATTACTGCTAGCTGTAGCTTTTCAACCCTGGATTAGAGCAGCACCAGCCTCTAACAACCCATGGACTCCCACTGTACGTGGCAAGGGCCATGTTTTGGCACCTGACTTTCACATATTAGTCGAAGTTAGGGAGTTGGTGTGCCTCTGAGAACAGAACTTGTCCGTAGCTCAGGGTGGATAAAAATCAGCAATTAAAACAAAACAGATTTTTAAATTTTATTCTGATTTTTTTTGTTTTGTTTTAGGTTCTTTTGGTTAAGATGCTTTAAAAAAATAAACATATAAAGATGGTTTGAATTTAAGATATGTTTAAGATCAAAGATATCATCATGGAATAGGGATTATAACTTCTAATTATATACTATTTAAGACAATACATTCGTGTAACTTTTTTTTTAGAAGTTTTAGACATAGGTCACAACAGGCCATGGACTATATTAGGGGCCCCATATTATGAGGTTCCTAGAGGCCCCTCTATAGATTAGTGAAGATTAAAGAAAACCACTCTACTCAATGGGACTCAGTGCTCAGTCTAAAAGATCCCATTAAGCATCTCTGTGATGCTTAGCTTCAGTTCTCAAACTGCGGATTGGTGTCTCCATAGATCATAGGCAGACAAGGTTCTTTGGGTAGATGTGATATATTTTATTAGACTAGCTAATAGCTGGAAAAAATGTTCTTTGCAAGCTTTTGGACACAAACAATCTTCTTTAGGCATAGGGAGAATTTGTTGTCTCCAGAGATAACATCCTTGTTAAAGACAGCATATGGAGATGAGAGAGAAGACCTGATTACCTACCTGTCGGCGCTATTATTGTACTGCAAGTTTGTGTACACACAGTCAAGCCCTTAGCATGTTCTAGAAGTGCAGAGTTTCAAGAAGTTAAATAAATAAAGGCTATCAGACAACAAGAATGCACTTTTTGTAGAAAGCAATGATTAAATCAAGGCTTCCTGACCAGTGATCTAAATCATGATTTAAATTGATATGATTTAAATCAAATCCACCATGCCATAGCCTAACACAGTGGTTCTCAAATTTTTTTGTACCAGGACCCACTTGTAAACATCAGTGGCCAGTCCTGGCTCAGGACCCCTCACTCCTGACTCGCTTCTCCCTGCCCCCAGGCTCCAGCCCCGCAGTGTGTAGGGCAGGGAGAGCCCCAAGCAGTCCCTTGCAGACTGGAACTTTGCCAGCCTGCAAGTGAAGAGTCACAGTTTCCCATGTTTTACTTTTTTAAAGGAGAATCTATCTTTAAAGTTTGTTGATCCATTTTTAAAGTTTGTGATCCTTTCATATAGTCTTGCGACCCACTTCTGGGTCAAGACGCATGGGTTGAGAAATGCTGGCCTAATATGTTAATGCTGCACCTGGGTATTAACTATGTGAGTATTCACAGAGCATTTTTATTGAGAGCAGTGGTATAGAATAGTACGCTTATCATATCCTTTCCTGTGACGTGGCTGCTATTAATATATGCTTATCTACCTATTCCAGAGTAGTCATTGATAAACTGCTGAAGAATGTTAACTCCCTTAAGTATACCATCTTGAGTTGATTATAGAATCAGCCCTAATTGTTCTTTTGTTGCATATCTTTCACTTACTGAGCTCAAAGTGGCTGTATGTACCTCCTCGAATTTTGAAAGGCAGTTGTAATGCATCTTACATTTCACAAGATCTTGAACTTCAGTTACACATTTTATTTCATTATATTTCACTACAATCCATTATTGGCCTACTGGACAGGTTGCACACTTCCATAGAATGCTTTTTTAGACCATGTTTCACTGATTCTTACAAATCAGGTCAAGTGGTTGGATGCCATAACGCTCGCTATGTTGGGAATATGGAGAGATGCAGTCTACTGTTAACAGAAGTATTTCAATTTAAGAACCTAAGAGATCCTTAAATAGTGTTCAGGGCAGTAATGCTTGCCTACACTGCTGCCTTCTGGATGTGGTGGTTTGTACATCTGCACTGCAGAATTGCCTCTGTTAACATTTTGTATATTGTCAATGCTTTTATTTCAGAACCGGGCTGTGCTTCATATTGCCCTGAGGAATCGCTCCAATGTTCCAATATTAGTTGATGGCAAGGATGTCACTCCAGAAGTGAACAAGGTGTTGGACAAGATGAAACACTTTTGCCAGGTATCAAGCACCAGAGTTAATTTGTTTCGACACTTCTACTTGTATAACTCTGCTCTGTTGCCTCTAATATGGAGCACTGCACTGCCTAACTTTAGAAAGAATGAGGGGCAGTAGTCCTGGTACTTGCCATAGGCACAAAGAATTAGCACTCTAGGGACAAGTGATACAGGAAAAAAGATGGATACCAAACTGGGAACTAGCTTGTGACTTGGTGAGTTTTATTTGCCTGGGTGCCAAACTTGGATGCTAATGAGCTCTTGTCTGCGCTTGGTAGTTTGAGAGTGTGAATCCTGCCCAGGTGGTAGTGGCCACTGCCTGACAAGCATGTGGTAGTCTATACAAAGCAAGTTTGGACTAGATCCAGTTCCCAGTGGATAAATGCCCAAACCAAAATAATTGACACTAATTGGTACCCATGTTGGCAGTCTTGGCTGAATGAGCCATAGAAATTGTACAGCCTTTTTATACCCTGGAAGCTCTTCCTCATGGTTAGGATAAGAAGTATGGATGGTGCAGTGTGGGGAAGCTGCCACTGCTACTGTCTTTGTTAGACCTGTTAGATAGGTAGGACTTCTGTCTTCAGAGCTAGCACCTGGAAACTTTGTCTCCATGAAAAGTGCCCATTTGTGTTACCAAAATAATTGTATTTAACTAACTGTTGTTCTGTCCTATCCCAGTATGGTCATAAAACCTGGGGTCACTTGATTTTAGCTGAGGGTAAAACTCGGTAGGTAAGATTTAAAAGCATGGCCTGTAACTGAGGTTGCCCTAACTACCACAACCATGCATCTAAAGCTTTTCTTTAGTGGAGTCGTTTTAACTTAAAAAGGCATAGCTAAAGAGAAAGTGCTATTGGGATAATCTGATATGAAATGACTTAAGCACACTGCAGGAATGTTATGACATTAGAATTGGGGAATTTCTTCAGATATCTCTCTTAAATTTAAATGTTGGTATTGGTATTAGTATGCAAAGCTTTGGCTGGAGTGGTATGGGGCAGTCCCTTGCATAGTGAACAACATGAAGCTTTAATATTCATTACTGCCTTACAGTAAGGGGCACTTTCTACCTTGTGAACATCAGGTACAGTTCTTACTAGTTTTGAGTAGAAATATGTGCCTATGTAAAATCTGATTTTTATTTATTTTTTTAATTTGGCCCTTTTTATAGGGCAGTTTGTTTCCAAATTATCAAGCCCTGTTTCTTATGTTTATTTACAGACTTTACTTTCTTAGCTGTGCATTTGTTTACTTTGTTTTCTTTTGATTAATAGGAGAGCCTACTTTGAGCCTCCTGGCAGGAGTTGATAAAAATAAATATATTGGTAAATTTCTTATAATTTAATCATAATTGTGAAACAAATATGTTTTTGTATGTTTATTGTAGAAAGTTCGTAGTGGAGACTGGAAGGGCTACACTGGAAAGTCCATGACTGATGTGGTCAATGTTGGCATTGGTGGCTCAGACTTGGTAAGCTCTGTGGTATTGATTTCCACATATCCATGTATGTGTGTATGTGTAAGATGCTAACTGTTTTGCTATTTTTCAGGGCCCCCTGATGGTGACTGAAGCACTGAAACCATATTCCAAGGGAGGTCCCCGTGTCTGGTTTGTGTCTAACATCGATGGTACTCATATGGCAAAAACCCTGGCTGAGCTTAATCCTGAGACTACACTCTTCATCGTTGCATCTAAGGTATAGCAAATACACTTGCTTGTCTCTAATTTTTCTTGACTTGTGAAAGGCTTAGCCAAAATAAATGCCCATAAATCACAGAGGATGCAAAAAAGAATCTCCCATTGTTTAAATTATGCTTAGTTTTTGTCCAAAAAAGTTGAGCTGTATCCAAAAAGCCTCATCTCTTCAGATTCAGAAAACATAATTTATGATCCTTCTGGCACAGGGGTCCTCAACATCATTAGAGTTGGGGCACCGCTAAGAAAATGCCAGCTCTTAGTTTTCACTTGTTTCTTGACTAGGAGAAAAACTAGATCAATTATACTGTTGCAGTAAACTCAGAAAGACCATAACTGTGAACTCGGTTGAAATCTCTGGGGTTTTCTTCTGAATCTTGTGTGTGTGTTTGTGCACCTAAAATTTTGTGGCATCCTTAAAATTCAAAATGAGGTTTAACTTGTACCCAAAATAAAAGTATGGGGATTTTTCACGTTTACATTGTAACTTTCATTTTACACTCAGCTTTTTAACGCAATAACTGTAATGCAATATATAGTACACGCAAGCTATCTTGAAATTAGGATTTGGTAACATATGTCCTAAATTTGTTGTTTGTACTGTGGTGCTGTCTGAGACCTTTTCAGTGCGCTATGCAAGCACATAACAAAATGACAACCCTCTCTTCAAAGAGTTTAAAATATTAAACTATTAACTAAGCTACAGTAAGTCTTTTTAATTGCAATAGGGGAAGAGCATTCTGCTTTTCTCAGACTTACTGGAGTTGGCTCTACCTTCATTTATTAATATAGTTACTGAGTGTTTTTGTCTTCCTCTTTGGGAAATACAAAGTAGACTATTCTGCCTGCTGTCTTGTTTGAAGAAGTAACAAAGACAGAAATGCTGTAGTTATATGATTGGCCTCCCTTCACTTTGAGACCAAAGGGGTTCTGTTGTATTTTACAAAGGCACAAATTCCCACATGTGTAAAGCTGACCTTGATTTGCTTATTATCTCATATTGGCAGTAATACAGAACAGCAACTGTGCATGGAGTAAGAAGAAAACTTCAAAATGACCAGTTACATTGTTTTGTGTATAATTGAGTTCAAGCCTCATGGTTCAGAGCCTTAAAATATTGCCACATTAAAAGAGTAACACTTTGGTTTCTATTTGTCAGACTCTAGATAATTGGATATATTTGGAAGTGAATGAATGGCATTTTTTCCCCTCTTTAACAAACTTAAGTTTCATAATGAAATAATTCTGGAGATGGATGGGAGTAGAATGAACATTATGTTCACCCTCAAAACTAAATTTTGATGGTTGAGTAAATCAGAATGGTTGTGGATGATCTTAGCAGGACTGCATGACTGACCTTCTCTGCACACTTCAAAAAGCAGGAAAATGGTCTCTCTAATCAACAGAATGAAGTTATAGGAAGAGTCTTAGCAGAAATAAGGAGAACGAAGTGTCCCAAATGTGAAAAATGGAAATTAGAACCAATAGGATGAGGGGCAACAACCTAACTGGATAGTTGTCCTGGTTGGACACTTTAAACTTTTTTCTTTCGTGCTGATCTCTAACTGAAAGTCTTGGAGTAGCTAGTCTAGGCCCCAGTAGCTTCAGTTATATACATTGAAACTGGTATGTCTGCAAACAAACATCATAAATACCCATTATGTCTCCAAACCTATTGTAGTGTGAAACCAGGAAGCTAAACATGTACCTAGAAATACAAGTTTCTGCAGGCCTGATGGTGTGCTCTTCCTTGAAACCTGTTTGCTGTTGTCTCTTTCTTATATGAAAATGTAGATTACTCTGCTCTAAGCTGGAATAACTTGATTGGACACAGTTTCACAGCCTGAACTAGTCTTGCATTCCTCAAACACAGTTTGTACTTCATACTCATGACTATATTGACACTTCTTTTTCTTTTCCTGCTGCGCAGACTTTCACCACCCAGGAAACTATCACCAATGCAGAAACAGCCAAAGAGTGGTTCCTCCATGCTGCTAATGATGTAAGTGTAATATGCTTAAGTTACACAATAGAATATAGTATCTGCTAAGTAGAAACTGCCCTTAGTCATTCTGAGGAAGCCTTGGAACAGAGCCAGTAGGTGCTCAAACACCAGCCCTAGAGTTCAACACGTCCCAAGCACATTAAATGCTGGTGCATTACACGTCCCAAGCACATTAAATGCTGGTGCATTATCATTAAAGTTACAGGTTGTCTGTCTCCTTTGAGTTAGTGATAAAACCATTTTAGTTTTTAACTTTAGATGGTCATTTGAGTTGCACCTAAAATCCCTTGTAGAAAACTATTTGGCTTTTAAAATGGTGAGTAGATGTTTGTGCCTCTCAACTACCTGATGAGATGGCATAGCTGTCAGACTTCTGTGCAGAGGCAACTTGAGGCGATGCTGCCTCCAGGGATTGGCCTTCCAGTACTTGGCAAAGCTTTCAAAGCTATAAAAGAAGTTATAGCTGATGTGTACACTGACATCTCTGCAGCAGATGCCTGACCTATGATTAGAAGTCTTTTATCTCGCTCTTTCTCTACGCTCCTATGACTTACTCTTTTAAATGCAAACCTGTTTCTAACCTGTTCCCATGAGCATGGCTGTACTTACTATCAATCTCAGACTTTGTGGTTATTCCTCACTTTACTATCCATACAATGGCACTTCCCTGTCTCTACAAATTCCAAAAGGCTTAAATGGCAAAGTGAGAGGCTGCAGTTCAGACCTGTAACTTGGAGTAGTGCCACTGAAGTAACAAGGAAAGGATCGTCTCGCATCTCCTGACCTTTTGATTCCAGTCTTCCATCCAGATTCCATCTGAAAGAAATCCTGGCTGCTCCAAAATCTGGTCACCAGGACTAGCTATATACAGATAGTCAGCACCATTCTTGAATGTGGAGTATGGTTGCTCCAAGATATTTAGTACCTGCTGTATAGAGGGACTACCTTTTATATTTGCACGTTACTTTGAATTGGTTCCAGTGTGCTACCGAATCTCTTAAAATAGCCACATGGTCACAGGTTGAATTCAGGTTCATTAAGAATGCAAATACAGCACACATGGCAATGGTAGTAATGTGTTCAAGTACAAATGACAGCAAATCTAAAAGAGATTATTAATATTTCTATTGGAGCTATACCAGCTTCACTACTTGTAATGAAAAATATTTCACACCTTGTGTGTGTCTAATTGCTTTAATTTTTATTTTATTAAAGCCTTCTGCGGTGGCCAAGCATTTTGTTGCCTTGTCTACCAATGGAGTAAGTATATTACTTTCTTTAAATCTGTATTAAAGACCATAGAGTTATCTTATGTAAAAAACAAAACAAAACCTCATGTCTGTTTAAAACAAAATCCCTCTTGGTTTCCAGGTTGTTCGCCTTCCAAGAAGGCAATTTTCTTGTAGATGAAAAGTAAAAGATTGTGACTGGTGGATTAGAAGAAGAGCTGGGCTTGAGGGGTGGGGAGCATATCTAGTATGAGAGAATCTGTTCAGAGCTCCTGTATAGACCTGAACTTTCCCCTTAGTTGAATTTACGCTTAAAGTAGCTTTCCCATTCTCACAAACAGTGTTTCTTACTGCTTAAATAGTCATATCCTGGAGTGGGGTAGATTTTTATACCTGTTGAAACCTTGGGGATAAGTTTTTTGTACTGATGAAAATAGCAGTATAAGCAACTCGTTGTTTGCGAGTAATGTAATATACACTGATTTGGCATTTTGATTTGTACAGGGTGAAAATTTGTTCGTGTAATGAAGATAGGGTAGGAAATGCTAGAGCGATTAGGAAGAGGGCCTATAATATAGGAGAGGCCTCCTTTTACCTTAAAACTTGATTAGGTCATTTAAAGTCCCCTCTGCCATCCCCAGTCCTCTTGTTTGGCCTAACCTTTCATGTGGCACATGACTGAATATTAATTTAATTTGCTACACTATGTTGCCATTTGCACTCATTGTTTACATCACTGAATATAGCTCTAGTTTCTCAGGCATCCTGGAGTAGCTGTTTATGATGAATATATCCTGTAATCTGAATATTGTTACTAATTTTATTTTTCATTCTAGCCTAAAGTTAAAGACTTCGGAATTGACACTGAGAACATGTTTGAATTTTGGGATGTAAGTAAATTGTTAGCACTGTGCAATAGATACTAACTGTTGGAACAATTTTATTAGCTTTGGAGAGCCCCAGAACCAGCCAGTATCATGTGAATGATTGAGAGATACTGCAATAAATACACAAATGTGTTTGTTATGCAACGGATAAACTGCATCACTAATGGCAAATCAAATGAACACTGGCCTAGTAAAACACATAAAAACCTTACCTCATGGCCATTCAGTTTAAAGTCCTCTCGTCTATGCATTGCTGTCTAGACAGCTGTTGGGTAACAGGAGACAGTGCCTTGCTCCCAGTGTATATCTTATAAGTAGTTATTATAAGCTGTGACATTTGACAGTTGGAGGCCTACTGTATATAATCTAGGTCAGTAAAGGTCAATATCAAAAGAACAGGAGTCTAATCTGATATTTAAATGGACACAAATTGTAAATTCAGTGGCCCTTATTCTCTGACTTTCTGAAGAAGTAATTTATTTGAACTGTACCTGAAAATGTTAGATAGGTCAACTCATGGCTCCTAATAATATGCCTGACAGATTAGAGGTTTGAAAGCTGCTGTTACGGAAGCCCCAAAAGCTGTCTGTTTAACATTTAAATTGGTTTATCCTTTAAACAGTTTCATAGCTTGGCCAATGCCCTAATGATTTGTGGAACACTTACTCTACCCGTACGATGTGAAAACTCTGATTTATGTAAGGAATAGCTATGTGGAAAGGGGTATACTGTATTAGGAAAGCACTTAATGCATATTTAGCTGCCTTGAATTGAAGTTTACCAGCTGGAAATGAGGTGGAGCCAGTACTAAGTGACCTACCAGTTCTCTGGATAGTAGCAAATGCTTGAGAACCTTTGCTTTAAAACATCGAGAGAGGTTACATGCTTAATGCCTAAGGGAGCCTTGGCCAGTGGGATCACCACTTTGTGCCTTACACTTTGTAATGCAGTGTTGCATGTGAGAGCTTTATAAACTTATAGCTGAATGGGGCTCCGAACATGTGGTACAACATGAGTCTTCACTAGCCAGAATAACTGCCAGCCTTCAGAACTATTTTGTGTCGTGCCTTGTTCTTTCCATAAGTTCAACCTTTTTAATGTCTTTTTCAAGCTTGTTAAATGTGAGAGTCATGAATAGACAATGAGCATAAGAGTTCCATGTTTCCCAAAAGTTTCTGTAAAAATGACTTGGATTATATTTTGGGTTGAATACTCCAGCTAGCTTATTTTGGATTCCATAACAAAATAGTGCAAGTGTCTTCTGGGTTTGTTTGATGTTAAATCAGCCTGTTCCCAAAGAGGCTCACTTGTTTGGTATGTATGTGCAGAACATGGAAGCACGCTAACAAATCTCCCACCTGTAACATCTTGTGCTCTTGAAAAGATGGAATGGGTTAGAAAAAAATCAATTAATGGTTGGCAAAAAAATTAAGAAAGAGCAGTGTAAGAAGAAGTATCAGAATGTATTGCTGGAGATATGTTACTGCTGTCTAAAACAGTCTTTTATTTGCAGTGGGTTGGTGGCCGCTATTCATTGTGGTCAGCCATTGGCCTCTCCATTGCCCTGCATATTGGTATGTATCTATGTTATAGAAACACAGTCATTACAGTCTGCGTGATTTGCTTCAGCAGTACTAACCAGATTCCTGGTTGGTGGGGAGGGAAGGTTAGACTTTCATATTGGTGTGGGAGGGTGGGGTCGAGATGTTAAGTTACACAAACTCTTCTTCCACTAGCAGGATGTTTTGTGCTAAAAGGCCAACCAGTGAAGAAGATAGTGTTGAAACTTGAAATTGCTCCCACAGATTTGTACTTGATGATAAATGGCTACTTGCATGGTCAAAATATCCCTGATTTACTTGTAGTCACAACCTTTCCAAAAGCAGTTGTAACAAATACATTTCAATTGCATTTACTTTTTAAAATGTTTTAAAAAAATGCATTTAGCTGTTTCTGTAGACGAGCGTATTAAACACTGAAATACTTCAACACACTAATTCTAAGTCAAGACACTATATTCAGGACTAAAACAAGAATGCTACCCTGTATCCTCCCTTTCTGACTTTACACTTCCTCTCTAGTACTAGTTCTCCCAGGCTACAAGGCTTGTGGATCTAAAAAAAACACTGGCTCTACCTGAAGTAAGTTTTAGAGTCAAAATCCCCATTCTGGGAAGGCCCTCCTGCCAGCTGCCTGCTATTTATTTATTCATTTGAGGGCCTGTTTGGCTTGAGCACCTCTGCTGATTTTTCAGGTGCAGAGTGGGATCGCATTAAGTAACTAGTGGTAATGGGGACAGCTCACAGTGCTAAGAGCTGTTGTTTCTCAAATTAGATTGATGGCTTTCTCTCTTCTTTTCTACTCTTGGCTTCTTCCTAAGCATAATTTGTATTTTTCTAAACAAAAGCTAAAAATCCCTGGACATGCAGGCTGCGAGTAATGCTTTTGGAATAACACAAGTATTGGGAATTGCAGCAAGTGGAATATGAATGTGTAAAACAAACTAAAATGGAACAATTTAATTTCAAAGGTCAGATCAGCAGTGGTGTTTTATTTGCCCCGCACAGCTCTACTCTGCCTTCAAACCGATAGGGTTGCTGACGAGCCAAACTAGCTGCACTGTTTGCTGTTAGAGCCACGGTTCCCAAAACCTGCTCTGTCTCAGCTGGCTCTTGACACAGAGCTTTTACTTTAAGAACGAGCATCTCTTCCTCCTCCATGTAAAATACTGTAGAAGGGCAGGCTGCAGTATTCTAGGTAGATTGTTAGGGCGCCGACTGTCAGTGTCCTAATCAGTGATGTTGATTATGGATTGTAATGATGGGACTGGATGCAAAGACAGCTTGGTAATTCCTCATGTTTCCTAGAAATTACTTTTGTTTTTCCTGATGGCTCACTCTTTCACCACCCCCTGCCCCCCCCCCCATCAGCTATCTGAAAGCCCTCAACTTATGCAGGCCCTAATGACTGACATTACCTCTTTGTGTACTTTCACATACTTACTCTGTCAAAATTAGGTTTTCAAGCAAACCATAGCATGACTTTTGACTCAGAATTTTACTAATGGAAGGAAGTCTGACTGGGTACCAGTCTTGGTTGTGTTGCAGCCCACTCTTCCAAGGAAATCAAGTGTCAGCTGGGAGAGTTAAACTATATTTTGGTTTATTCTTAGGTTTTGACAACTTTGAGAATCTGCTTGCAGGAGCCCACTGGATGGTGAGTCTGAGAATGTCACAGTTTACGTTCCAGTTAACTTGGTCCCATGTTGCTATTAAAAGACTGGCACAGAAGACTGGCTTTTAAAGTTCAGTTGTGGAAAAGTACTTCTCTTCCTTCTGTTCCTCACCCCTTTCATTGCTTGTAAAATGTCTCCACCTAGAAAGCCTCCCTTGTGATTAATTTTGTGGGGACAGTTGCCTTAAAACATACAGACAATCCAAATTCTGAATCTAAGAGTCTCACTCATGGAAGTCCACTGTTTTACCTCACTGTAGTTTTTCTTTCTGTCTCTTCTCCTTGCAACATAAAAGGACAACCACTTCCGCAGTGCCCCCCTGGAAAAGAACGTGCCTGTCCTGCTGGCCATGTTGGGCGTCTGGTATATCAACTGTTACGGAACTGAAACCCATGCCCTTCTGCCCTATGACCAATACATGCATCGTTTTGCTGCCTACTTCCAGCAAGTAAGATCTCGCCTGAATGGAAGATGTTGATAAGTCCATAAAAGATGGTCCATAGTTATGCAGTCAGGTTGTTACTTACTGATTCAACGTTAGCCATTTAGAAATAAATGACTGATGTTTTGAAGGGCTCTTAGGAGTGTTAATATCTTGCTACAGACAGCTCTTGTTTACTGTAGTTACAACAATTGATGTAAAAACCCTCCCTTGCCAAAGAAACAACAGATTTTTATCCTCATTCCAACCCTCTGGTTTTCCATAAATCAAATACAAGCAAAAAATACAGTGTTTAAAGCAGGGGTGGGCAATTATTTTGAGCAGAGGGCTGCTTCTTGAGTTTTGGCAAGCCATTGAGGGCCACATGACAGACAGCCCTGGGCAGATTAATATTAATTTTCTAAATTTTTTAGGGGCTCCGTGGGCCGGATAGAATGGCTTGGCGGGCCGCATCTGGCCTGTGAGCCACATTTTGCCCACCCCTGGTTTAAAGCATAAGGCAATCACTATTTAGATTGGCCCTGCAAGAACCATAAGGGAAAACTTGTAGAATAGTCCGAGTTGATAAACTTTCATCCTTTATGCTTCTAGGGTGACATGGAATCCAATGGTAAATACATTACCAAGAAAGGCAGTCGTGTGGATTACAACACTGGCCCTATTGTGTGGGGAGAACCTGGAACCAATGGGCAGCATGCCTTTTATCAGCTGATTCATCAAGGTATAACCAGACTGCTTTGGGTATGTTAGCAGTATGGATTTGGGGCAAGTTCTCAGTATCCAATATCAAAACCACTATAGACCACAGCACTTGTGCAGTTAAACCAGGGGAAGGATATTGGCTAATCTGACGTTTTTTGGTCAATCTGACTTTTTATGGTCATTGAACTGCTAGAGTGTTCTAAAGCCACTCACTGGTTAACAAGGCTGCTGACACTGATGCAGTCGCTGTAGGATTAGATTTTTTTTTCCTAAAAAAGACTCCTAAGTAAGGTTAGCCACAAACTTCATGAAACTTTTCTTGCTTTCTCTAGCCAGTTTAGAGTGTGTCTGGAACTTTTTTGTCATAATACTGCAGGGGAAGGTAGCAAAAGTTTCCTGCCTCTTTTTACCTGCTCTCTTGTAAAGTATTTCTAGGTGTGACTAACAGTGTTTTTCTGGTAGGAACTCGCATGATTCCCTGTGACTTCCTAATCCCAGTCCAGACCCAGAACCCAATCAGGAATGGCTTGCATCATAAGGTAATGCAAGATGCTTTTAATCAATGGCAGTCTACTTCCTCTTACTATTGCTGAAGGCACTAGAGTTCATTCCACACTGTAATATGCCTGAATGTATTGGTAAATAGACCATATATTTTAAATGTACCACTGTGATTGCACTTTTAGGGTGTGACCTCATGAGTAGGAACATGTGTTTGTTGTCAGGAAACACCCATGCGCGTGCGCTCTGGCTGTGGCACATTGCCCCATATGGAGTAGGGGAGAACGGGACCAGCATCTGGGCTGGCTCCAGCAGCCTCACCTGGGATTCTCAGGGCTTCCAGGGGCTGCTGCTATGGCAAGTCAGCAGCAGAGAGCCTGGCTGGCAGCCATAGTATGGCTCCAGCTGGCTAAGCTCCAGTTTTTGGTGGCACATGCTGCCAACACATGTACTGCCCCACTTTTTTAAAAGTACAGGTTTTTTTGACACCAGGATCTTCCCCTGCACTGCAAACTTAGTAGTATGGGGAACGCCGGCGTGAACACCACATGTAGTCCATACTCGTCTGGATGCATCCTTAGGGTGTGTCCCATTGAGCGGGAATATGTAGTTTGTGGCACCTCATAGGGTTTTGAGGTGCTTCAAAACGCATGTGGTCCATGTCAAAAGGTTTTCTGTGCTGCATATTTTCAGTGCAGTGCCAAAACTAGATGAAGTATCCAAAAAAAGCGGGGCAGCACATGTAGCTGCAGTATGCGTTGCCTGAAAGTGGAGCCTGGTCAGCTAGTGCCGCACTCTGCAGCTGCAGCCCCAAGACCCCAGGTAAGGCTGCTGGGGCCAGCCCAGGTGCTGGTCCCAGCTTCCCCTACCCCACTCAGGGCAATTTGCCATGTGCCAAAGCATGCTTGCAGGGGCATACATGGGGACAACTAGCAGAGGCACAAACATATGGGGATGTGCCCTTAGTCTAAGCAAACAAATTTAGGTTTTTCAGCCACATATAATATAGCCTCTGACCTTGTACCTGGTGGAGGTCTTGTCTTTGCAGCTACCGTTTTAGAGGGAGACTTTGATATTGTGGCTTCTTGATTGGAGAGAGGTGGGAGAGGCAGGTATTGGAGATGGCTCCTGCAATCCAGAGTGCATACTGATCCTGAGTGTGACGAGTTGAGTTCTCAAAGCAGATAACCTCTCCTGACAAAGTACTGCTGAGCATAAAGCTTGAACTTCCTTCAGCCCAAATTCATGAAGTTAATAAGAGACTGTCTATGCCCGAGGTGGTAGATTTTGAGTCTGGATTCCTTACTCAGTAAAGATTTAATCTATCCACTTTATTTTGACCCATTCTTAACAACCAAAAATGAAATGAGTTGACACTAACTACACACTGCAAGTGTGAGCTGTAGATTCTTCACAGTGCAAACATTTGTCAAGCGTGAGAGAAACTTGATGCCCACAGCTAATATTTCCTCTAGTACCAACTTCAGATGTTAGTGCTGTTCATCTGTTATCACCTTGCCAGAGAAATCTGACACTGATTACAGGCAGGAATTAAAAAGATGACTTGCAAAATGGAGGACAGGTGGGAAGCAGTTTTACTGAACCATTGTTAGAAATAATATAGTATTATAGTAACTGTGGGCCTAACCAAAACAGGACACGGTCTCTGCCTACAAAACTTTCAAAGTAACCTTCAAGTCAGGTGGAGAGAGGTGGTGGTTAATTTCAGTAAGCGTGCAGGGTGAGTTAGCAGGCTCTGGAACTTGGCACATTCTTATGACTTATTTTCTCTCTTATTTAAAGTAAATGGATGCCTGGATTAGCCAGTTTGGAATAGGTCTGACTTCAGCAGAGGTAGGAATTTATGCCAAAGCTTTAAACACTGCTTTGCTTATATCTAAGAACCTGAAAATACTGTAAACGCTCGTTAAGACTCATGACATACCATGAAGTTCCATTCTACAGATAACTATTAGGTGCCTCATTTTAAGCAGAAATCCCAATCGGTCCTGAGCTGTAACCTCTAGACAATGTTCCCATCCTTTAGCTAGAAGAACAGTAACTTTTGCTGCTTGTTACTATCTAACATCTTCCCCTTAGATCCTTCTGGCCAACTTCCTTGCCCAGACTGAGGCCCTGATGAAAGGAAAGACTACTGATGAGGCTCGTAAGGAACTGCAGGCTGCTGGCCTGAGTGGTGATACTCTGGAGAAGCTTCTTCCCCATAAGGTACCAGTTTTGAGAACTGTCTTAATTCCCTTCAAGTTGCACCTCCATTTTAACCCCCTCTGTACGTGCTTTCCAAATTCTCAGGGGTTCGATGTAGTTGTTGCTAGATGATTTATTAGAAATAGATGGGAAGTAGTGTGCCCTCTGGTGGCTGTTAAAAGGAACAGCAGCAAGCGAGAAATATTGAACCTAAAGATTCAATGACTATAACTTGGCTGCGTTTCTCCATGGGGCAAACTCCTTTCTTTAAAAACAAACTAGGTTACTGCTTTACTAACAGAACACTGAGCAGGAAACCTTGCCTTGCTTATCAGAAAAGATTAGCTTTCTGCTCTCTAGACTTATTTGCTGCCATCAGTGTAGAGCTGAACCTGTGCATGCGGCTGGCATGTGGACGTGACATTTTGCTATTAGGTTTACAGTAAACGTCTTAATATCATTTTTGAGATGACCAACAAATTGAAAATACTGTTGGTTTCCCATAGGACACTTCAGATTCCTCTGTGTATTGTCTTTAATGGAAATAAAATGTGGGTTTGAGGAGCCTTCTGATGCAAGAAACACTGTAATATTACTTTGGTTTGTTTTAAAAGGTCTTTGAGGGAAATCGCCCAACCAATTCCATTCTGTTTACAAAACTTAACCCATTCATTTTGGGAGCCCTAATTGGTAAGTAAATATGTTTCTTTACTGTTAATGTTATAGTGAAGTTTTTTGATGAAGCTTACTGATAACTCGGTCTTTTTTTTTCCCCCCCCACCATACACGTAGCTATGTATGAACACAAGATCTTTGTTCAAGGAGTTGTGTGGGATATTAACAGCTATGACCAGTGGGGGTAAGTCTGACCTGTTTCCTTATGAACTATAGAGCACTATAATTCACTGCTCCTTTGGAAAAAAAGATTAGGATAATGAAGAAAGTTTATGCACTGCATGCATGCACATGCACGTGCTTTTTTTTTTTGATAAAGCATCTTATCTCCCTACATAAACCTGTGCAAGGCATCACTCTCTAGGGAGGATTAAAGGACCTTAGTCTCTTTAAACAAATCGCAATATATAGGGAGGAGAGAGAGTAATTGAAGCTTTTGGCAATAGTAGAGGAGGAGAAAGATACTTCCGTTATAGAAGTAGTCCCCTAAAAGTAAGTGGTCAGCCTAAGTTACCTTACACCTACAGGAACGGTAACAATGAAGCAGCTTTGAAGTGAGGCTGAAGTGAAAAGCCAACTGCTTTTTGATTTGCTTTCCTGTTTCAAGCAGCTACCCACAGGGATAGTCTCTAATCCAGAAACTGTAACTCTAATGTAGGCTGCCTTTCAAATGATGCATCTGTGTAATACTATGGAGGTTTTTGATATACTCAGCCCAAGTTTTTTAAAAGCAACTAGTAATTATTAATTTTGAGGTGTGGGGCTGTCTGGGTATATGAATCCAGATGGTCTAATTATGTCACATTGAGGGCTTAAAATCACTAGACTCTAGAAAAACCTGATCTTTGACTTATTCCAAAAACTAGCCAAGCCCTCCAGTTTACTTAGTGATTAATTAAACCTTTGTGGACCTCCTATAGGATGTCTGCCCTGTGAGGAATTTCTCACTTAGTCTCTTTCCACCAAACGAAGTTAAGACTTCCTCAGGAAACAGTCAAGTGCTGTTCCTTTTAATCCTGTTCTCACGTGCTAGGAGCAGTGTTGCTTTCCTGCATAAAACCTCACAGGAGGCAGCAAAGAGTCTGGGGAATGCATGACTGTTCTGGTGAAACCTGTCTCTTCCTTTTTAAGTAGTGAGTGGAAGATGATGGGGACCCTGCAGAACCTGGGTATCCGCAGGAGTTCTGGTCATCTCAGCATATCCAGGAACCTATTTGCATTCAGTGTACTAGTGCCTCTTTGGCCTGGTTCCTAGAGAGCTGGGCTACCACTGTAGTCTTCTCTAGCAGCTTTTATAGCAATTGAACCAGGGGTTTCTGGAAGGTTGAAAGCTGTTCAGAACACCACAGCTCCTGCTACAACAACTGAGGTCTGAAAAGGAGCATGACCACACATACTTAAACATTTTAAAACCAAAAAGGGTCCCTTCCATCCTATGTGTCTGGTAGCGGGAGCTCTGAGGTGACATGATACGCAGCTGGGATTCACCTCCTGTAGGTTTCAGAAAATCTTGTTTTGCTTTTGTTCTTTCATTCTTAACTTCTTACTGCCACCACAGTCTCTACTAGCTTCCCTGAAAAGCTGGACAAAGTGCCTTTTCCAAAACTATGGGGTTTTGTGGGTTTTTCCCCCCTAGCTGAGGATGCCACAGCCTGGTGTTTTGAGATGAGAACATAAAACATTACTCTGTAGCAATGGTGCACAACCTACAGCCCGTGGGCCAGGTCTGGCCTGCAGAGCCATGTCATTCAGCCTTTAGGGATCCCCATAGGTCTGAAAATTTGGTGGCAGGGGAGCGGTGACAGCATTTGGTTTGCATCTGGATTTGCCATGCAGGGTTGGGCCAGAGTGTAGGCCATGGCACAGATCAGTGCTACACAAGTTTCAGTATTGACTAACAGCAATATTTACTAAGTCGTTGTTTTATTTTAAATGACTTCTTTATTTCTCTCTCTCTCTTTCTCTGTAAATGCAGAGTTGAGCTTGGAAAGCAGTTGGCGAAGAAAATTGAACCAGAACTGGATTCTGATGCCCCTGTGACATCTCATGATAGCTCAACAAATGGGCTCATTAACTTCATCAAGAAGCATAAAGCCTGAACTGAGAGATGCAGAAGACACCGACAATCTATCCACCGAAAACCCAGATCAATGTTGTAGTCATTGCTTTTTTGTTTTTAGCTATTTTTAACCAAAATAGCACTTCACAGCTGTAGCTTCTTCACTTTTTGCAGTTAATCCTGTTCTGTCAAGTGCATTATAAAGGAAAGCTAGTTTTGTGAAACTCAGAGATTGTATAGTTGCTATTTTTGTGATTGTTAAACTGTAAAGTGCAGCTGGTGTATCCCTCACTTCTCTCCCAGCTCCCTTTAAAGATGATCACATGTTGAAATTAGAAAATAAAAGACACAGTGGACAGTAAAGCCTCTTTACTCTGTATTTGAATAGTGCTGGCCTAATAGTGCTAGCCTCATGATTATGTACAAGACCGGTACTGAGTAAACTAACTTCTGGTTGGTGTGTTTGTTTTCTTTTGAACTGGTGTTACTATATGCCTGGGATTTAGTATGAAGGAAAACTTATGGAAATCATAACATGGCAGATTGCTTTACAATCCAACATGGCAGAATTGCTCAGATCTGTAGTATGTGATTCATGGACATTTCAGTCTATGGGGTTTTGTGAGTACTGCAAGTGTGTTAAAGGGGAAGGGAAGATTGATAAATGTGGTGAAGCCTCTCTTTTATATATGTATTTTCTCACAAACACTAGGTGAACAGCTACTCTAAACTGGATGAAACTTTTCCTAATGTGGCATTGACGTTTCTAAATCTCCAAACACGTTTAAACACAAGTGTACCAAGCATCTATCTCTTACCAAGCGGCTGGAGCTTAACAATTTTCAGTATCTGTTCTCAGCAGGATCTTCACAAGCATTAATATTTTCTCTTTACAATAAGAAAGCATTAAGAAAATTAAATATTCCAAGCTGCACCTTGACTGGAAAATAGTCTTTTCAAACATCTTAAATCTGTTACAGAAATTTTAAATTACTTTTAAAGAGCGAGTCTTCTGTTAGCCACAACCTAGATGTTTCTTTTACACCCCGCATATTTTTGCAGCCTATGAATGTACGAGTTGATTCTCAAAAATGGAAATGTGGGGGGAACTTGCTAGATTCATTAACTTAGAAGCAGACTATATGCTTAAATATGTTGAAGAAACAGCTAGAAATAGAAAGTACAAGCTTGTAACTCCTAGTATGCCTTCAGCCCATGCTATCTGAATGAGGCATGTGAAACTGGATCTTGGAGACCTAATACGATTGTGACAATTGTGGCGTGTAACACTTACAGAATTATAAATTGCGTTGTAAATTTAGGTTATAAATTTAGACCAGGACAGTATAGCTACTGTCCTGGTCTAAAGAATTGGTGTTCCAGGATAGCAGCTGCAATGTAATATTCTTTCTCATCAGGAAAAGTAATAAATGCAAATCCCAAAACACTGCAAGAAATTTGTCTGGCACCTGTGGATGCATTGTGTATCTACGGTAAAAACACACCCATCTGATTATAAAATATCTACAGGCAAAGATGAGGTCAGCCTCACCTTGCTGGAAGGCTCCAGCAATTAATCTCTGATGTCAAGCACTGTTCCCCACTCCCTATATCTTGGCCACAAAACCAAAAAACTGCTGAAGGAAGGTTCTGTAACTGGGAACCTATCTAAGTCTCGGTGAGACAATAGGGGTTTTTTTGCAGCCCCTTTTTGGGATGCAGAGCCAGTTCAAGGGGTGTTTTGTGGTGGCCCCACCCCTTACTGCTGATTGGTGGAGGGTGCCTTCACTCAGTTTACATCACCACCAGGGTGTGCAAAGCAGACTGGCCCTATTCGATTTGGATTTAGATTTGGCCTGAATTGGGGACAGTGATTCAATTCATTTATTCAGATCACTGTCCCTGATTCGATTTGGCCGAATCCAAATCAGAAGATTCAATGCCGATTCGGAGAATCAGCGATTCGGACATAGACACAGCTTTAAATGTTTTTTCTACGTACCTTGAGGTACCGGCATGGCTTGGGAACACTGATGCTGGGGCTCATGGAGCATCCCACAGGAAGGGGCGGGGCATCCATGTGCTCAGTGGTGAGCCTGGAAGTACTTCCAGTCCACTTCTGGGTCTGCTGGGGAGCGCATTGGGTGCCCCCCTGTGCCTCCCTGGCTTGGTAATAGGCCGCAGGGGGACCCCGGGTGCCCCCCCAGACCCAGGAGGCACCAGTCACCAAGTGATTCTGTTCCACTTCTGGGCCTGCTGCTGAGCACGCTGGGGAGCCCCCGTGCTCCTGCGGGACGCTCCATGCCCCCCAGCGTCGCAGCAGTCTCGAGCCGCCTGATACCTAGAGGTATGTAAAAAAAAACATTTCAAGCTGTGTCTGTCTGAATTGCCGAATCTTTCCGAATCTCTCCAAAGCAATTCGGAGGGTCCCAATTCAATTTGGAGAGATTAAAGGGTCCTCTGATTTGATTTGGATTCAGAGATTCAGCCACCGAATTGGGCTGAATCTCCACCAAATCAAATTGGGGACCAAAGCTTCACACAGCCCTAATCACTAGCACTTTCTTTGCCTCACCCCTTGCCACTGATTGGCAGAGGGTGCCTTCACTCAATCTACCATGTTACTTTTTTGTGGTTTGGGGGTTTTTTTGGTAGATCTCGCAGGAAATCGAAGCCAGTGCTGGATTTTCTGGTGATCGCAGGCAACACTGTTGCGGTTTTTGCAAAATCTACGAAACCATGATTTAGGTAAGTCCCTTTCTATAATACATTTCTTGGGTTTAAATTTGTAATATGAATTCTTTCAATTGCTTGAGCAAACAATGGAACTGGGATGCTAGATAATGAATTCCTTCAGTTCACTTTTTTTTTTAAACAGAGGTGTGAAATAGCATTTCTTCCTTTAGGTGGGGGGCTCTGCCCTTAGATGAGCTAAGCTACTAGTGGATGTGCTTTGGTAATGACCAGGTCTTTCCTCTTCAGAATTCCTTGGTGTGGTTTTGTTCTCTGCCGGTGCACTTTCCACCTGACAACTTACAAATCCTGCAAGCTTGCCAAGGGAAAATTTAAAAAGTGTGCGATTCAAATACTTTAGACTTTGTTCCCCAATCATTTAGTTCTCTCTTTTCAGCATCTTTACTAATGTGGCCTTGGGAGGTATTTTATTGAGTGTATTAATACAGGAATGGCTGCTACAGAACCAATTTGACAGCACGAGGCAGGACTGCAAGAATCTGAGCTATGTCTTGCTTAACTGCCTTGAAAGAGACAAAGAAAAAAAGAAGTGATCATCCAGCAGGGGATATTTGCATGAGGTGGGGTTTTCTGATGTGGCTTGTTTTGCTCCTATTGGAGTCAATGAGTGTTTTAAAATTGACATCAGTAAGAGCAGAGGGAGGCCAGCAGTGGGTGCTTTGAAAATCCCACCCGCAACGTTCATTCTGGAAGCATTTCAGAAGTGCCTTGGGAAGAGGACTAACAAAACAGGCTGTCAATGGCGGTTGTCTCTTTTGGATATTAACTACTGTGGTTACTTAATTTAATTTTTACAGATATCCCCCCAAGCACATACAGAGAAAGCAGCTAGCAATCAGGAGAGCTTGAATTAAATTATTAAGCCGCCTGATCCAGACTTGCTTGCAAGGCAGACAACAGTCATTTAACCGCAGGATACAGAATAATTTAACCAAGCTATGCTTTGTATGTAGCCTACCATATTAAGTATTTAGAATCACTGCCAGTGATCAACACATGCTAGCAAAAGATCAAATGAGATCTGTCCTAAACTGCTGCTGGTTGGGCTCTGGACACCTTATTGAGAGACAAGCTGCTCTGGTTACCAGCGCTTTCTGACAATGAGCAATCTTACTTCTCTTCCCTTAGTATTTGAACTAACTTTGGGCTTGTCTAAAAATTAGAATGGGTTTGTGCCATTGCAACCAAGCTGATAGCTAGGTCACCAGAGCCCCCTAGTGTATGCTGACAGGAGGAGTTGCTCTGCCCACATAATATGACTACTAGGGCTGTGCGAAACTTCGGCAGCTGTTGTGTTTCGGAGGTGTTTTGGCCTGTTTCAGTGCCTGAAACACCAAATCTGAAATGAAACGTAAGGCTCCAAAATGAAATGAAACCATCCAAAACATCTCGGAAAATTTCAATGTTTCAGAGCCGGGCTTGCAGGGAACCAGAAACTAAGAAGAGGGAGGGGGAAAAGGGGTGGGGGGAGGACTGCTCTAATATTGACATCTATAGCCGGCCAGTGTCTGCGATCTGTCCCTGAGGTCCCTTCCAATGCCAGTGCTCTCAGGGAGGGACGGCAGCCTGATGTCATCCCACACAGATCCGGGGACCCGTGCCCCCTGGGAGGAGTCTGGCACAGCCCTGCAGCCCTCCTGGGGGGGGGTGCAGACCCTCGAATCCATGTGCGGGATGACAGCATGCTGCTGCTGCCGTCTGGGGTCAGCTGCAGCACCAGTCTTCCCGGCACTCGGCGCACACTCTGCCGAGCACTGGTTCCAGCCGGCAGCACCAGCATGCTGTCATCCCGTGCACAGATCTGGGGGTCCACGCCCCCTGGGAGAAATCTGGCACAGCCCTGCAGCCCTCCTGGGGGGGTGCAAGCCCCAGATCTGTATGCAGGATGACAGCAGACTGCTGCTGCTGGCAAGTGATATGAGTTTCGCTTTGAACAGTTTGAGGTCCACAGAAATAAATTTAGAGTCCAGATTCATTTACTAGGAAATGGAAAAGGCATCAAATGAAAACTCCCTAAATGTCTCCATCAGTTGATAGCAGAGCTTCTATTCTTTGAACAGTTTCAGTTTCACAGAAACCCCTGCACCTTTCTCCTTGAACCTTGGCAGGCTTCATGCCCTCAAAAGGGCGCTACCATCCCTGCAATTTTCATGCAAATCAGGCAAAAAATTGACAAAGTTATAGGCATTTTAGTGATTCCCCATTATAGCCTATGGCCAAATCACCGAAACAGCGTTGAAACTCTGAAACAAATTCAGCCAAATTGAAACGGAACAGTGATCCAAAACACCGAAACGAATCATTGTCCCCCCAAAACAGCCAAAACTGAATTGAAAAATAGCTGTTTCACACACCTTCCTGAACAAGTTAAAATAGGCAGCATTTTTTGTATAGATGCAGTCATTCTAAGGTAGGGCTGTGCTGGCATAGTTACGGCAGCATTGGGGGTGTGATTTATTCATGCTCTGCTATGTTGTGGCAATGGCAGAGAACTTTGGTCTCATGACACTACCATTATTTACATTACTACCAACATTGCAAATGTGTCTGAACAACCCCTTCTCACTCCTGTACAGAGTATAGCAACTCCACGTGTATGTGTAGTACATTTCTCCATCACCCGATAGCGTACTGCTGATAAGATGTCTCTGTCATATGCTCTTGCATGCACTTGGGAGGATGTGTTCCTTAAAACATGCAATGGCC